CAAATATGTACATATACATGAATCAAAATAAACAAACAAGAGGGAGCCTTCATAAAGGTTACTCAGGAGAAGTCTCAGCAGTCGGCAGAGCCCCAGAAAGAGGAGACACCAAAAGGTGATTATTCGGAGCCTCAGTACTAGGCAGAACCCCAGAAGGATAAGGCACCGAATGTTGATCATTTGGAGCTTCATTACGCGGTACAGCCCCAGAAAACGAAGGCAATAAATGTCTTTGGAACAAACCCACAAACCTCTGATGATCAAGTAAAATCTGACCATCAGATTCCTGCAGCTGGTCGAGCTTCCTCTTCATGTTTGTAGCATAGTCATGTGCAAGCCTGTGCAACTGTTTATTCTCATGCTTGAGCCCTCTGATTTCTGGTTTGAGACTTATCACTTCAGCCGCCAATCATTCAACTTGGCGGGTTCGAGCAAATAGGCGTTGGGACATATTAGACACAAAACCTGCACACTGAACATTGAGAGCCAAAGAATCCTTAACAGCCAACTCATCAGACTGTTTGAAAAGTAGTCTGTTATCTTTGGGAGTGAGAAGGTTCCTGGCCACCACCGCAGCGGTCATATCATTCTTCATCACAGAGTTCCCAATGGTAAGAAGACCAGTAGGGGATAAGAAGGATGGGCACCATATGTTGTCTTGAGAAGGCATGGCTGCCTCTTCACCAAAGTTCAAGTCAAAACGACGGTCGGATGGGCCAGACATTCTCAGAAATTATGAAGGAGAAATATGGTGCAATAAATCTCTGAAGTAAGAGGAAAATTCCTACAAGCAATAACTCTCTGAATGTACTTCTTGCACACAATTGGTGCCTTTATAAAAGAAAGGGCAACAGGGCCGTTGGTTCAAAAATCGAAGAGGCACCACTTTCCACACGCAACATCAGCTCCTCGAGTACCATATATAACTTTGCCAAAGATCTCTGACAAAGTTTAGACACATAAATTTTGAAGGTCTAGCTACCCTATTATTACCCATAAGGGTAAAGGAACAGCACCACTGCTTGATATCTAGAAAGTCCCAATGTGTGTCAACCTCCGTGCTCCGTGGCAAGGTAGACTGGCAAAAATGCCCAACCTTTACTCACATTTGAGAAACACTCCCAACAAGATTGCTTGCTCAAAAATCGAAGAGGCACCGTTCTCCGAATCTCGAGAGCCAGACTCCCAACAGGATTGTTTTCTCAAAAATCAAAGAGGCACCGCCCTCCGAATCTCGAGAGCCAGACTCCCAACAAGATTACTTTCTCAAAAATCGAAGAGACACTGCTCTCCAAATCTCAAGAGTCAGACTCCCAACAGGATTGCTTTCTCAAAAATCGAAGAGGCACCACTCTCCGAATCTCAAGAGCCAAACTCCCAACAGGATTACGTGCTCAAAAATCGAAGAGGCATCACCCTCCGAATCTTGAGAGCCAGACTCCCAACAGGATTACTTTCTCAAAAATCGAAGAGACACTGCTATCCGAATCTCAAAAGTTAGACTCCCAACATGATTGCTTTCTCAAAAATAAAAAAGGCACCGTTCTCTGAATCTCGAGAGCCAGATCCCCGACATGATTGCTTGTTGAAAACCGAAGAGGCATCGCTCTCCGAACTTCGAAAGCCAGATTTCCTTGGATAAAGCTTGTCTGCAATCTTCATATGCAACATCAGCTTTCCAGATACCACAGACCACTTTTTCAAAGTGCTCTGACAAAGTTAAAACACGTGAAGCTTGCAGCTTCTACTACATTGCTATAACCAAGAAGGGTAAAGGAATAACACTACTACTTGTTGTTAAGGAGACTCCTATATATGTCGACCTCCATCCTCCACGGCCAGGCATACCTGCAAATAAAAAAAAAGGCTCAACTTTTCTTCACATCCGAGAGGGCACTCTCAGCAGAGTCTCTCGAAATACTCATCTTCTTTTCCTCCCGATATTACCTCTGCAAACAAGCCACATCAGAGAAAAACTATCTCATATCATCAGGGTTAAAAGCAAGAGTATCCCATATTATGCTTTTTCCCTGTCTTTTCCTTTAGCCTTGTTCTTACCTGCAAGACAAGGAGAAAAAAAGCAATCAGTCAGCACTTGGAATCAAGCTTCCAGTCAGGAACTGACTGCCTGGAACCCCTTGCTTGATTACTTACCTGACATTGCTCTCGAGTACTCATCTTCAACATCTTATGCTTGCAGAGAAGATACCACATCTGTCTGAGGAACAGATAGGGCAAGTGAGAAGGATACAAGGAAGCATGTGGAGACAAGCGTAACAGAACACGTGTCGAATATGAAATTATGGCATCTAATTGAACTTAGAAAGACATCGTCGGCCCACTGGCCACGCGCCGTCGCGGGTGGCGGTCGGCCGCCCTAACTCGCCGGAAAATTCAACTATTTTTTAAAATTATCAAAAATTACAGAAATGAAGATCTCAAAGAGTAGAGCAAACTTTATACTTGTGGCCAAGTCCAATTTGGCCAGGAAAAGCTCCAATTTCACTTGAACCCGCCAGAAACCCTAAGATGGTTGTTATTCGATTCGACTTCCTCGATATTCCAACGCCCCTACAACTGATTGGGTCTTGTTCCTGGGTCCAAGGGAGGTTGATTAAGGGTGGTGGTGGGTGGTGAAACTCACCGGAATAGCGAATCGCAGTCAAGAACCTCCGAGTTCTCCGATACGGTTCTACTCGAAATTGGCCTTAAAAACCCTTCAATTTGACCAAATAAGGTAGATGAGAGGTTGTAGAATAAGTTGTAGGTGGTGGAGGGGTGAGAATGACCTAAAAAATGGTGGAGATTGGTCGGAATTCAGTCGGGTTGAAGTCGTGTTTGTGGGTCGGGTTGACGAAAATGGAAGGGGAAAAATCCCCCTTTTCTTTTTCTTCCCTTATTGGTCCTTCCTTTTTTTTTTTTTTTTTTTTTTGCCTTCTAATTGGTCTCTTCTTTAAACTTTTTTTTTTTTTGCCTTCTAATTGGTCTCCCTTTAAACTTCCACATAATTGGGCTGGTCCTCACCTTGCATTGGTCACCATTTCCACGGGGAGTTTTAAAGAAAATTAAAATCTATAGTTTAGAAACACAACTTCAGATGTCCGTAACTATACCGTTATAATCTGGACTCCCAAACGATTTTTGCCTATGCGTTAGTGGTTTCAAGATCTATCCAAAAATATAAATTGTGACCTTGAAAGGTCTACGAATTTTAGATAATTAATTTCCAAACTTCAACTTCGTAACAAGTTTAATTAAAATCTAAATTCAAATAAATTAATATAATTTCTCGTAAAATAATGTAGTCTCAATCATACAATTTCGTAGATTATAACAGTGAAATCCAGGAATGAGATTTCACATATAGGTATATATATTGTGAGTCTTTCGTTCATTGTTTTGAAAGTCTGCTCTGATTTTTGAAATTTGATTGAAGGAAATAGATGACAAAGCACAATTAGCAAACAAATCAATTGTTCGAAGGAAAGATGTTTCATGAAAGCGTTTTCAACTTTAAATGGTTTGACGCTTTCAAGTTGCCTGAAAGTAGTAGAACACCCTATATTTCAAATGAACAAAATATAGTGGATTCCACGATCAGCAAATATGGCAGCGAATTCTGTCGCAAAGAGTATTTCACTGGAGATGTGCGGCTTCGGCTGGGTTGTTCAACCTCCATCTTCGTTAGTGGGCATTTTGAACAAAGATGGTCTTCCTTGTCCCCTTTGTAATTTGGGGTTGGGATGCACTGATAGATTGGGCGACGCTGGTACCTGCTTAGGTGGCGTCTTTCTTGTTCCTGTTTATCTTTGTCTTTGTCTGTCTGGGTTTGCGGTGTCTGCTTCTCTACGTGTAGTTTGGCCTTGTGCCTCTCTTCTCTATGAATCTATCTTTTTAACCAAAAACAAAAAAAAAAAAAAAATATATATATATATATATATATATATATATATAGTGTTTAATTGTCCCGTCATTAACACAAGTCTAAGAACATATTAAACGTTTCTTTGATATGTCCACTTGACAAAGAGTTTTGTATACAAGTCAGTCATTGTTTCACGGGCCATTAGACCTGATTATATGTGATAAACCTACACCCCAGAATTCACTAATCTCTGCTCAACACCAGCCTCAACAATAATGCTGCCAACAAGTATTTTTGTATTGTGTGGTAAGTGTTTATGCATAATACTATTTACAATGTGTGCATTTAGTATTGTTAGTATATGTTATAAACAATTAGATGACACCAATCTTATAAGAATCTTAGGGCATGTTTGGTACTCTATTTGAATTCAACTTTTTAAACTCAAAAACAATTTTCAAGTTTTAAGCCTTAAAAACTTGTTTGGTATGACTATTTTAAAAAATTGAACTCAAGACTAACTAAAAAATATAGTCTATTATCTAAAAACATTTTAAACTCACTTCTTTCCTTTCTCTCTCATGCTCTCTCATTCCAAATCTATCTCTCTTTTCTTCTTTCTTTCTCTTTTTTTTTTTTTTTACTTTTTTCATGTCTCCTCCAATCCGCTATCTTCATTTTCTTGGTTATTTCTCTTACTCATTTTCCTCTCTATCTCGTCCGATCATCTCTCTTCTTTCTCTTTCCTTTAATAATCTCTTACTTTCTTTTCTCCTCTTTCTTCTTTCTCCCTTTCCTACGACCCTCGCTTTTAGATCTCTTTATTTAGTTTAAGTTGTAAGATTTAAAAATTTTAAATCACAAACTAATCAAGTTTTTAAGTTTTAAAGAAAATTGTTTTCAAAAAATGTTCTTAAGAAATGTTTTGAGAAATGATAAAAAATTTCAGATAGGATACCAAACATGTCCTTAATATATTTGAAATATCTAGATAAGGCTTAATCAAAGCGTTCCTAGAAGAAGAAAAAAAAGAAAAACTGCAAAAGGGGCAACCGAGGTGATGGAAATTGCAGACAAAAAACGTTTTTGGTGGTTGTGCATGAGAGATATTGTTCACTTGCATTCCTGGTTTGTTCACCTGTTTTATTATCATTGTAGGTATGAACGAAGATGTGGTTTACCCACCAGCTTTGATTATATCTATTGCTATGCACATTGGGTTATGCCACTGGGTCTCTCTTTCGTAGTGCTAACTTGGACTGATATACCGGTTTGTACCTCTATTTCTCATTTATTAAGTTTGCTAATCTTTATTTCTTCTTAATTAGGCTTTTATTTGTTGCTGCTGGTTGCAATATTTCATTGTCCTAATTGTGTTATTTCTATCTTGAAGCATTTTTGTGATATATATACTCTTTCGTGACAGAGATCCAGGTTGGATCTTTTTGGATGTTCATGTGGAGGAATGGTCAATTTGGGGAACGATGTTCACTTCACTAATGGACATGGAAAGGAGACATGGTATAGTGAATATAGTAAATCTTTGGTCATTGTTATTATGCAGTTGTAGGTCCTTTGTGTTTTTTTTTTTTTTTTTTTTTTGAGTTCTTTGAAAATCGGTTAAAATGAAAGGTTTTTTCTTCTGGGAACTACAACTTTATTTATTTTTATTTATTTATGTATTAGACCTTGAGCATATTGAATTGATTAGTATGAGTATGAATAGTTTTAAAAATCTGGATGAAAAAGTATTGTTAGAGACGTATGATGGCTAGAAGATAAAGACAGGGTTTTATTAGAAAACATACATAATTCAAGTCTCAGTACAACTGGATATTCGTTTACTTACACAAAATTTGTGTGCATGCCTTCATGCGGTTTTATACAAAAATGATTGGATTTATTCATCCTGAATTCACTTATGTTGTTAACAATTCTACCTGCATACCATGCTTAATGATTAGTCAGTAATTTTTTTAAATGCGTTTGCATGTAAAGATTGGATGATGATCCTCTTCGTTTTTTCATTTTATGTTAATTTAGCTCCCAATTGATCCTTTTCTGTGATTTTTGTTTTCTAGGTTTTGGCTGGTTGTTGAGAAAATGCCGGAAACGAAGGAAGGTTTTGAAGCATTTTTGTTTTGTTTTTTGCTCTTTTGGGTTGTATGATTGAGTTATCCGTATTTGTAGAGGATGTTTTTACTTCGTTTAAGTTAAAATTATGAGATTTAGTAGTTGAATGTTTTGAACAACTCTTTATATGTATACACAGTTGTCAACAACTATTATATAGTTTTTTTTGTAAATAATTTTTACATGTCTACACACAATGCTTCAACACATTTATAGTCTCTTATTTTAACACTTATATACAATATTTATAATTCATTTGACATTACCGCGGCAACGCGTGGGCTTAAACTGCTAGTATTATCTATAACGGTTTAGATTATATTTGAATTTTACGGTTCAAGATTGAGCTCAACTGGCATCTTTTTTTTCTAAGTTTTGAAAATCGAACATCTTGGGCCAGTTACTTTTCTATCCTATGAGCCCTTCAAAATTGGCACCATTGGACTACTACGTATTTCTTGATACAAACACTTCTGTTCATAAAATGATTTTACACGCTTATATTATAAATACATTAAAAATATTCAAGTGATTTCTAAAAAGTACTAGGAAGTGTTTCTCCATGAAATGCTTCAATAATCCATAAACACTTTAATTTTTTATTTATTTTTGGTTGCTTAATGTAGTCAGAAGTACTTGGTTGTTACAAAACACTTTTAGCTCATCCAAATCATTTCTCGAAAAAACCAAATAACTATCACTTATCACCATGGGCTAATGTTATTGCTCATTGTATGGGCATTATAGTCTTTATATCTTTATGGAGAGATGTGGGACCGTCACGACTAATTAATTGCATCTATGATGTGTTTATATTTTTTATTTAACCTTACTGTTTATGTTTATAAGTCTAGCATTTGTAACACTAATTTTCTTTATAAGCGTATTTTCATGTGATTTTGCCCAATTTTTAACGAGAAGAGTGAGGACAATAAATTAATATCGAACTCATTGTTTATAAATTTAATCTTAAGATTTATAATTTACAAATGAAAAGAACTAACACTCAATTGTAATACTATGTACAACATATGCGAACTAAAATGTATAAAAATAAAAATAAAAAATTATAACCAATATTATGCGATAAATTTTTATTTTTGGTACAAGGATAAATTTTAAGGAAAACTAATGAAAATGGCTTGAAAACTTTGAGTTTTAATGATAAGGACAAAATAAAGGGTAAAATGAATAGTACCAGGATTGACTTTTTAGTGTAAAAATGTGGTTTTTCGTTAAAGTGAACAGTACCAGGTGCTTTTCGTTAAAGTTCCCTAAATTTTATTTTTGGCTATGCTCCTGCATCATCCCCTAGCCACATGGGTCCGTCATAAACCCTAAACCCCACAAAGAAAAAAGAAAAAAGAAATATTTAGTTATATCTGTTCCTGCACTCCGCTCGCGCCTCTGAAGCGTCACCTTCCTCAGTCCCTCTAGTCTTGGAGCTTCCAAGTTCATCAGCCTGCCGAAATTTGAATCCCGCCTCTGCCATTGGGAAGCATTTGTATGTATTCCCACTACTTATTTCTTCTATAAACTTGAATTTTTTCGTTGTTTAGGGTTTAAATTCATTAGGTTCTCATATGAAAATTCAATTATTTAAATACTTGCTGAGATCGAATGACGATAGTATAACTGTTGAAATACATAAAATTTTGCAGAGGGGGTCTAAATTTTAGTATTTTTGTGGATATTTTTTGAAATTTTTTCAATAGAGCCTAACATTTTTGTATTTTTCTGTTTTGTTTCAAGTACTGGGTTGATATGTCAGATTAGAGACTCAGACTCGAAAGTGTTAGAGTATATACTTGAGCCATCAGGATTATGACATCTGTCAATATATAAACGGCTAGATTACAAGATTTAGTTAGAGGATAAGGACATTGTAACAGAATCTTTCATTAGATATATGTGTGATTGTATTGATCTGGATCATTAAGGAAAATATATGAAAAGATTTCTTTCTCTCTCTAAACTTTCTCCGACTTCTTTCTTAAGCTTCTTGTTCTTTAAGCTTCTATGGTCTTCTCTGTATAATTCTCAAAGATATTATACTATGGTTAACATGGTATCAATCGCCCGATAAGCTTCGACAACTTCTTCGTTTCTAGGTGCTTGTGCTTCCGCTTCATCTCTTATCTCTCTATGACTTTTCTGTGATATCTGGGTTTTTCTCCATTGTTGGTAGCTATAATTTTATGTCGGTCACTTCTTGCCCACCAAGTGTTTGTTCTTATTCCTCAAAGAAAATTTTTCACCATGGTTACTGTCAATCAACTGCAAATCTTGCAGTCTCCGATTACTGGGTTGATTTCTTCTGTATCATCCTCAGTGTCAGTTAAGTTGGATGATTCCAATTATCTTCAATGGCATTTTCAGATGCAATTGATGCTCAAAGGATATGGGATCATGAATTTTGTGGATGGTTCGAATCCCTGTCCTTCTCAATTCTCGTCTACCTCTTCCAGTGGTCCTGAAATTTCATGTACTGAATCTAATTCAAGAATTGAGTCTGATGATTACAAAGTATGGAAGATGCATGATAGGGCACTTATGCAGCTTATTACTGCAACACTGTCTTCTGTTGCCATTTCTTGTGCTATTGGTAGTACAAGCACTAGAGATTTGTGGGTTCGTCTTCAAGAACGTTTTTCTACTGTTAGCAAGACTTCGATCTTTCAACTCAAGTCTGATCTTCAGACTATAAAGAAAAGGGCAAATTCTGTAACTCAATTTCTTCAAAGGATTAAATAAGCACGAGACTATCTTGCAGCTGCAGGGGTCAATTTTGAGGATGAGAATATTGTCATATTGACTTTGAATGGTTTGTCTGCAGAGTATAACACATTCAAGTGTGTCATTCGTGGTAGAGAGAATGTAATTTCTCTTAAAGAATTTCGTGCTCAGTTGCTTGCAGAAGAAGCTATCATTGAGAATAGTCAAGGTCTGTCATTTTCTACTTCAATGTTTACAAAGACCCAAGATTTCAATTCAGGTGCTTTGTCTTTTGGATCTCAGGGAAACCCCAAATGGTTTTCATGGTAATTCTGGTCAACCTTCCTTTTTTAATGGAGGTAACAAGTCTAAATTCAAGGGTAAAGGCAAAGCTGGAAATTTTCAGGGTCATAAATACTATAATAATCAGGGACAAAGGTATTACAATTCTAAACCTATTGTTCATGATTATGCACCTGGAATTCTTGGTAATCCTCCTCAGTTTCACACTGGTTCATCATTTGCCAATGTCATTTGTCAATTATATTCTTAACATGGTCATAGTGCTACTACTTGTAACTACAGAAATATTGAATCTGACTCCTCTGAGAACTGTCAAATTTGTGATAGGAACAATCATACTGCTAAAACCTGTTTTTACAGAAATAAGAACAGACCTCCTCAATCATAAATGACTGCCATGCATGCTACTTTTCCTGGATATATGCAGCCTCAATATATGCCTTCCACGATTAACATGATTCCTTCCCATATGCCTCATATGATGAATATGATGTATCAGAATGGCTCTCCATCTCCGAATGCTTATGTAAATATGACTGCTTCTATTTCATATGCTCCTGCAATGTCCAATTCAGTTTCACCTCAAGTTTGGTTGACAGATTCTGGTGCAACCAATCACATGACCAATGATCTCAACAATTTGTCTCTGGCATCTCCATATCCACACGATGAGACTATTCAAACTACAAATGGTGAAGGTTTGCAAGTTTCTCACATTAGGGATTCTCTTATTAGGCCATCTTTTCAGCCTATTAAGTTGAATTATGTTCTTTATATCCCGAAATTGTCTCATAATCTGATGTCAGTTCATAAAATCTGTCTTGACAACAATTGTTGGTTAATATTCGATGCTTATTGTTTTTTGATTCAGGACAAGGCCACAAGGAGAATCTTGTATAAAGGACTCTGCAACAATCGATTGTATCCAATTCCTTCCTTACCTACTTTACCATCAAGCCAATCATCTCATGTACAAGCCAATGAAGCTCTTGCCTTTCTTGGACACACTGTGAATTCAACCTTATGGCATTGCAGATTAGGTCATCCTTTCAATCCTATAGTCTCTCTTATACTTAGAAAGTCTAATGTTGTTGTTACACAAGATGTGTCTCCTATTATTTGTCAGAGTTGTTTAGAAGGCAAATTTCGTAAGCTTCATTTTTCTCCTGCTTCTGCAAAGTCTGTAATACCTTTTGAGGTTGTGCATAGTGATTTGTGGGGACCTGCACCTAGTGTATCCGTAGATGGTTTCAAATATTATGTCATCTTTGTTGATGAGTGTACTAGATTTTGCTGCCTGTTTCCGTTAATTAATAAATCAGATCTTTGTCCAGTGTTTGTTACATTCTATCAGTTTCTTTTCACTCAATTTTCAGCACGAATTAAGGTCTTACAGAGTGATGGGGGTTGAATACATTGGTAAACCTATGCAGTCTTTTCTTGCTAAACAAGGCATTTCCCATAACAAATCATGTCCATATACCCCTGAACAAAATGGTTTGGCTGAGAGAAAACATAAACATATAGTTCAAACCGCAATTACACTTTTACATAATGCCAATTTGCCTTCTAAGTTCTGGTCCTTTGCCTGCCAAACAGCCATTTATTTGATCAATAGAATGCCCTATTCTATTTTTCAAAATAAATCACCATTTGAACTTTTATACTCTGCTATTCCTGAAATTCAACATCTAAGGGTTTTTGGTTGTGCTTGTTTTCCACTTTTAAAACCCTATAACAGTAACAAATTACAACCTAAGTCTGCAAAATGTATCTTCTTGGGATATGCTTCAAATTATAAAGGTTACATATGCTTTGAACTAAATCATGGGAAAATATATATATCAAGACATGTCATTTTCAATGAAATAGATTTTCCCTATGGTTCTCTTAGTTCTAATTCACAATGTCCAAAATCAAAACGTTCAAATCCAACTATTTCTCCTAACATAGTTCCTGTTGTGGTTCCTAACTTACAAAATGTTCTAGTTACATCACCACCAGTATCAGTATCTGATCAATTGCCTTCACAATCTTTCCATTCATCTTCTCCACTACCACCTATATTACCTCAACCATCCATGTCACCTCAGTCCATTGCTGCACAAGATTCTCTAGCTCATGTGGTTCCTAAGTATAGTTCTGAAAGTATTCC